ACCTTTACTTGCAATCCATGTTGGCCAGAGATTCAGAGGTTACTTAACAACATGAATTTACAACCTCAATATCGTCCTGATATAATCTCAAGGGTTTTTAAAATGAAGTTTGACGAATTACTGTATGATATAACAAAGAAGCATGTCTTGGGCAGAGTTGTTGCATGTGAGCCACATGAAATTAAATATGTAATACTTAATTCTTCCCTATTCTATACCAATGATTTTAAATTAATGTTTTACTGTATTTTAATTTCTTCCAGATATATACACCATTGAGTTCCAAAAGAGAGGTTTGCCCCATGCACACATTTTACTTTTCATGCATCACCAGAACAAGTTTCCCACTCCGGATGACATCAACAACATTATTTCAGCAGAAATACCGGCAGAAACGGATGATAAACAATTAAATCATTTGGTAAAGACACATATGATTCATGGTCCATGTGGGTTGGCTAACAGATCTTCCCCTTGCATGAAAAATGGTAAATGCTCTAAATTCTTTCCCAAAAATTGGCAGCCTCAAACCATTGTCGATCAAGATGGCTATCCCGTCTATAGGAGAAGGGATACTGTCATTACTGTTCTGAAAAAAGTATTGTTCTTGATAATAGGTATGTAGTTCCTTATAATGCATATCTTCTAAAGAAATATCAGGCGCACATTAATATGGAATGGTGTAACCAAGGTACTTCTGTCAAGTACTTATTCAAGTATATTAATAAAGGTTACGATAGAATAACTGCAGCGGTTGTTCGGACCGAATCAGACGGAAGTTCATTTGGTACAGATGTTGATGAAATCAAACAGTACCTTGATTGCAGGTACGTTTCCCCGAGTGAGGCGTGTTGGAGGATTTTTTCATATTCTATCCATGGTAGATCTCCTTCTGTCGAAAGGTTGTACTTTCATCTAGAAGGCGAAAATCCGGTTTACTACACTGACTATGATTTCATAGACAATGTTCTTGAAAAACCAACTGTAAAGGAATCAATGTTTACAGCTTGGATGGAGTCAAACAAAAAATACGAAGATGCAAAGAATTTAACATACACTGCGTTTCTTTCCAAGTTCGTTTACGATAAAAGGTACCGTTTATGGAGACCTCGAAAAAGAGGTCGTACGATTGGCCGGTTAATTTGGGTTCCTCCAAGCACTGGTGAGCTCTATTACCTTAGAATGATGTTGACGGTTGTCAAGGGACCGACTTGCTATGACGATATAAAAAAGGTTGGTGGAGTAGTCCGCGACAGTTTTAGAGATGCATGCTTTGAGATGGGATTTCTTAACGACGACAAAGAATATGTTGCAGCCATAAATGAGGCCAAAGATTGGGGTTCCGGTAATTTTTTGAGGAAGCTATTTGTCACGATGTTGTTGTCTGGTACTGTTAATCGACCGCGACATGTTTGGCAACAGACTTGGAAGTTGCTATCTGACGGTATTCTTCATCAACAGAGAATTGTCACTGGAATAAGAGGTACACTTAACAAATACCTAAATACTTCTGTTAAATTTCATACAATTACAAACCGTACGAAACTATTATAATGAGTTTTTCTTCTTATAATACCTTTTAAACTACTTTGGATGCAATAATTTCAATCCTTTTATACTTCCATATATCTGTTACATATCATACAGTTCAAACCATACTTAAGTCTTTTGACAGGTTCTCATTGTCGTAATGTAATTTCAACTCATGTAGATAGGGTCTTAACTTAAGAATTTCAATTGTTACCAAACTGGTTCTGCCATAAAATTTTTCGACAGTTCTGCCCATACACAGACTTTCCTGTTCTTATGCCATAATGCTTCACATCATTTCCATTCAACAGCACCTTTCAATGCTGCCCTTTCAAAGAATCATAAGTTCCAGTAAGCAAGTCCTTTCAATGCTGCTATTTCATCAGTAATAAAAATATCTAATGCAATCTGATATTACTCACCACCAACACAGAACAGAATAATTCTGTGATTTATCTTTTACCTTCAACCACCTTTTGTCACAGCTACTGATCAAAAACATAACATTTTTAATGAACCCGAATGTCTGATGCTCTTGCATTATACTGAACTTTTCCGTGATACTGCCATTTTAAGGTTAACGATCCTTTTGCATGTCTATCTTCATCAACACTGTGATTTCTATTGTACATAATAGTTATATTTTATTTTGGTTTGTATTTGTGTTGGAAGACATGCAATTGTCAACTGCAGAACTGACAAACCTCACATTAATTGAGATTGAGAATATGATGCAATCAAATAGAAGAAGCTTGCGTGAATTCAAAGATATGCCGTTTCCAGATTTGTATATAACGCGACATGTCGGTAATAGACTGATTTTTGATGAACGTGATTACGATGCTGATTTAGAGCGACAAAACTTCCAGAATCTATTTACATCTCTAACAGGTATTTCCTCATTATTCAAATCATCGATGTTTTCATTAAACTACTGTTGTATTGATTCTTTTCATTTGAACGTCAAGATGAGCAACGTGCAATCTTTGAAACCATAATGGACGCCGTCAAGAAACAAAACGGAGGGGTGTTTTTTTTACATGGATACGGCGGAACCGGTAAAACGTTTATGTGGAGGACATTATCAAGTGCACTTCGTTCAGATAAAAAATTTGTTCTGGCTGTTGCTTCAAGTGGCATAGCTTCCTTATTATTGCCAGGTGGTAGAACAACCCATTCGAAGTTCAAAATTCCCATTCCAACGCTTGACAACTCTACTTGCAATGTTGACAAAGACTCTGAGCATTCACAGTTATTCGAAGCTACTGATGTCATAATATGGGACGAAGCACCCATGGCTCATAAGAATTGTTTTGAGGCCTTGGATAAGACCCTTAAGGATGTCATGAGCGATAAGGGTTTTGCAAATACAATTTTTGGTGGCACGGTAGTTATATTTGGAGGGGATTTTCGACAGATACTTCCAGTTGTTCTAAGAGCAGGCCGTTCTGATATTGTTCATGCTTCCATTTGTTCTTCTTATATGTGGGACTATTGCCAAGTCTTAACACTAACCAAAAACATGAGACTAAAGAATGGGAGGGACGGTACAACTTCTGATGAACTTGCAGAATTCTCTAAATGGATATTAAATGTTGGCGACGGTAAAATATGTGAACCTAACGATGGATTAGCTGATATAGAAATTCCTCCGGATTTGTTAATTTCCAATTTTGAGGATCCAATAAGAGCTATAGTTGAAAGCACATACCCAAATTTGCTTTCCGACTTTCAAAATGTAGAATTTCTACAAGGAAAAGCAATACTTGCTTCAACCATTGAAGTTGTTGATAAAATTAATCATTACGTGTTAGACATGATACCGGGTAAACTATTTTTTCTTTTGATGCTTATTTTCGTGTAGATGTTTCGTTATTAAATTATTCTTGAAAAAGCATTATGGATTGATTCGCGTTTTCCCATTTCTTAGGTGAGGACAAAGAGTATTTGAGTTTTGATTCGATTGATAGAACTGATTCAAGTTACACCGAAGCCTATGAATGTCTTACTCCAGAATTTCTTAGCAAGCTTAGGACTTCAGGTGTCCCAAATCACAAACTCAGATTAAAGGTTGGTACACCAATAATGCTTATGAGGAATTTGGACCAAAACGATAGTTTGTGTAACGGAACTAGACTAATTGTTACAAGGTTGGCAAATCACGTTATTGAGGCAAAGATCATGTCTGGTAAGAATGTTGGTAACATCTTTTACATCCCTCGAATGTCTATGTCACCTTCCGAGTCACCGTGGCCATTTAAGTTGATTAGGAGACATTTCCCAATTATTGTGTCGTACGCAATGACAATTAATAAGTCTCAAGGCCAATCACTTGATACAGTTGGATTGTATTTGCCTACTCCTGTATTCAGTCATGGCTAGTTGTATGTAGCCATTTCAAGAGTTACAAGCAAAAGTGGTCTAAAGATCTTAATACATGATAGTATGAATGTATCAACATCTATCACTACAAATGTTGTATACAAAGAAGTTTTCCAATTTCTTTGTTGATCGGTAAGTACATAATAACAAATATTTTCTTTAATATAAATTGTTTCCGTAAATGCTGTCTAATTTTTGCATAATTTATTGTGCAGGTCAAAAAGTTGAAAACATCGTTTCCAAGCTGGTTGCGTTGTATCTGAAGACTTGTGATAGTTTCTTATTTTGAAGAGTCATCACAGTTTCTTATTTTGTTACACAATCATGATTTCAGTTTACATTTTTTAATGTTGTCAAATAAGTTTGATACACTAAATTTGGCCGAATTAGATGAACTTTTATTGAATTACACTAAATTTGGCCGAATTAGATGAACTTTTATTGAATTACATAAAAACGAATTTACTGTTACATGACAACATTAATTCCACGTTTTATGAATTCTCGACCGGTCCCGTGCGACAGCACGAGTTATCGACTAGTTTTCTATTAAAATTCATATCTCATGAACTAATAAGAGACATGCACGACAATATTTTATTTTTAAAATACTAAAATAATATGATAAGAGTTTTGATCGCGTAAAAAAATTTACACTGAAAATGCACTTTAAGTATAAAAGTAAACCTACATGCAATATTTATATTTGTCCAATTTTTTTATTGGTATTTTATGTTGGATGTCTTTTACAAATTAATCTTTCAAGTTTTTTTATAACAAATCAATTATTGTAATCTATACAAGTGTAAGTCATTAATTTTTAAAAATAATTTATAATTAATTTTATCGAACCGGTCCAACCGGTCCGGTTCTAACAACAGCAATAATTAAAAGTAAATATAAACATTTAATTAATTAATTAATTTTCGCGGCCACTTTGGTTTGAATTTGTTTTCTATATTGTACACACTTGAATATTCTTTCATTCAATTGTATCACTCGTTTTCCCTTTTTCTCCTTCTCTCTCTCTCTCAAAATCTCTCAAATCCAAATCTTAAACCCTCAAAAACCATCAGCACTACTCAAAGATGAAGACAAAAACTCCATTGAAGCAGCTCAAGCTCTCTGTTCCTGCTCAAGAAACACCCATCACCTCATTCCTGTAATTTCATCATTTTTCAACTAACTTATTTCTTATTTTTGCTTCATTACTCCATTTAATCTATAAAGTTCGGTTTTTTATTCCAATTTAATGCTGGTTCCCAGATAATATGTTTTTTTTTTCAAACTTTATGTTTATGAATTTGATTTCATTATGTTTTGGAATTTTTATTAGAACTGCAAGTGGTACATTCCATGACGGAGGTCTGCTTTTGAATCAGAAAGGAATGCGTCTCATTTCCGAAGAAAAGGAATCAAGGGTAATTTTATTTACTTCACTTCTCTGTTGTTTTTTCCCCCTAATTTATGTTTGTAGATACTATTTCAGATTGCAATTTCAATTTTTTTGATAGAGTAAAAATTTTGCATGCATTGATTTATTAGATAAGAGTGTTGTTCAGTATTGATTATGCTTCATTCTACATGCTTACTCTTTGTTTACTTAATCACCAACATTTAGGGTTTGGTTTGTTTATTGTTTTTGGATTCAAGTATCTGATTTGAAGACTTGAAATTTGTTTATTTGAGCAGCCTTCTGATGCTAAGGATCTTGAATTTGACTTCACGTTGGACGATCTTGAGACTGTCAAAGTAATCGGAAAAGGTAGCGGTGGTGTAGTGCAGCTCGTTCGACATAAGTGGGTTGGAAAATTGTTTGCTTTAAAGGTTGTCATTCATAACTCTTTTCAATTGCTTTTTATCACTGGATTTGCCTGTATGATTAATGTTTTTGCACATTGTAATTTGCAAGTTTGTCTGCAAAAGGTTGCTTTTTAATAAACTAAAAGGCAGAGTAGTCAATCACAAATAGCGGCGCAGAGCGGCTGACCCCAAAAATAGAATAGCGGGATAATATATAGCGGGATGACTGCTATTTGATCATTTTTAGGATAAATTAAATGAATAATAATTATAAACATATGAAGTGCAGTGGGAAGAACGAAGTGCAGAGAGAGGTGTGGGAGGAACTTGTGATTTTTCTTTGCAACGGCTGAAGTGCAGAAACATCGGTGATGGAAAGTTAGGGTTGAGTTTCAACTCAAATTTGATTGAAAAAACATTTTAAATTTAAGGGGTAATTTTGGTTTTTTAGAAGGGAAAAGGATAGCGGGACAAAAACTGCTCTGGGCTAAGAACCCTCTACCCCTGCTACCCGGTTTTTACCCTATAGCGTCCACTATAGTGTTTTGTCCCGCTAAGACTCTTCCCATAGCGTCCGGCCTCTGCTCCGCTATAGCGGGATAGCGCCGCTATTGGCCCTATTGACTACTCTGATAAATGGTTGCAAGTGTCTTAGGATATTTGGTATCTATAAGAACATGTGAAACATGTTACCGTTATGATTTTGCGCTAAGTAGCACCTTTTGAAATTAAAGCATATTGTTTCAAAAATGATTTTCAAACTTGAAAATTGAACTTGTTTATTATAGGAGGAAATCTTGTTAAATTAAACTTTTTATTGCAGGTCATTCAGATGAATATACAAGAGGATATTCGAAAACAAATTGTTCAGGAACTGAAAATAAACCAAGCATCACAGTGTCCACATGTTGTAGTTTGTTACCATTCATTCTATCATAACGGCGTTATATCTCTTGTATTGGAATACATGGATCGTGGTTCTCTAGTAGATGTAATCAGACAAGTTAATACAATTCTGGAGCCATATCTTGCTGTGGTTTGTAAGCAGGTACCTAGATCATACTTCTATTTCATTCTCGTTGAAATTGGCAGATTCTCGCCGATCCATTATTCTATTTCTTTGTTGAATGTTAGTAATTTGTTTCTCATATTTCAGGTGTTACAAGGCCTTGTTTACTTGCACAATGAAAGACATGTGATACATAGAGATATCAAACCGTCCAATCTTTTAGTAAATCATAAAGGGGAGGTGAAGATTACTGATTTCGGTGTTAGTGCTATGCTCGCTAGCTCAATGGGCCAAAGAGATACATTTGTTGGAACTTATAATTACATGTCGGTATGTAACTTTTCTTCATTAAGCTGTTTCTATATCACCAGAAACTGAATAGCATCTCCTATCAAATTTCAATACCCTCAAATTGAATAAGAAAACATTGAATGCTAAATTGCAGCTGAACCAGATCAATTAAATATCTCCTTTATGTCCTTCTCTATTAAAATTTCAATAACCGTGGATTTGTCGATTTCTTCGTGTAGCCAGAAAGAATCAGTGGGAGTACTTACGGTTACAGCTGTGACATCTGGAGTTTAGGGATGGTAGTACTCGAGTGTGCCATAGGACGGTTTCCTTATATACAATCTGAAGATCAGCAAGCCTGGCCTAGTTTCTATGAGCTTTTGCAAGCAATTGTCGAAAGTCCACCACCTTCTGCTCCTCCTGATCAGTTCTCACCGGAGTTTTGTTCATTCGTGTCATCCTGGTAACTTTTATTCCTTTTTACTACTTTCGTACTATGTGCTCCGAACCCTGTTCATATTAAACTTGAGTATGGACGTGCGTCTATAAGAAATTCAACGTGTTTTCAAACAGACGCAAAGTTTCCATACCTAAAAACTCATAGTATACTCAAGTTTTTTAAACATGCAACTGATCATAAACTACCTTGTGCTATAAGTTACTCGTCGTTTATTTGAAACATATTTACGCTTTTTTCCATTACTAAGTTCTTTCATGGTATTATTACAGCATCAAGAAGGATCCTCGCGAAAGATCAACATCATTGGAGCTTTTGGTTAGTATGCTAAGTTGTTCTTTTTATAAAAAAAAAAATTCTATATCTTGTTAAAATTTGTCATTTCTGATTCTTGTTATCTCATTCCACTTTCAGGATCATCCTTTCATAAAAAAGTTTGAAGATAAAGATCTAGATCTTGGAATTTTAGTAGGTAGTTTGGAACCTCCTGTAAATTTTCCTAGATGATTTGTTAAGATATATGGTGTAAAATTTGTACTTGAATTTCATAACATTTGAGTTAAGTTTCTCCTTGTCACTATTACTATGTTAGAAAGTATAAATATAAAATATACTAGACTGTATCTTTGTTGAATTCATTAGTTTTCTGAAAGTGATTTGTAAAATATTTCAAAGGGTACTACTATTTATTTACAACTGTAAGGATCCGAAAACTATAAGAAAATAATTAAAATAATTAATGAATACAAGTTAGGAGTGGCATGACTCATGAGAAATGTCCATTCCTTCCACCTACTCTTATTGAATTGTCACACAAAATAATAGGCATTTGATGAGTGAGCGGCACTCTTATTCTCCACATAATATTTATTCAAATACCAACCTTTCATGACTTGTGAGTCCAAGCCAATCTTCTTATCCTCACAAGTCATCAACTCATTCTAAATAACAATTCAATTTGTGTTGTCATTATCAATAGAAGTTATGTTCTTAAATAAAACCAGTTCTCTGATAGATCATTTTCATAAGTAATTCATCGTGCATAGTATTTAAAAATTATTAGAAATTTGAGAATAGTCCACGATACTCTTTAAACTATTATATTTAATCTTAAATTTAAGCTAAAGTTGGATCAATTAAATCTAATGTTTTTGATTAAATTTCAGATATAATATATCAGTTGTTGTTGATATTTTTTTCCATATATATATATATATATATATATATATATATATATATATATATATATATATATATATATATATATATATATATATATATATATATATATATATATATATATATATATATATATATATATATATATATATATATATATATCAATAAGAAGACATAACCAATATTCAGTTTTCTATTATGGTTTCAGTAAATTTTAGTACTAATTTCTCCCACTAAACCCTGGTGTCGCCTTTCCCACCTAACCCTAATCTCTAAATCGCCTCTCCTCCCTCCTTCTCAATTGCATCTTCTTCCCTTTCTTTCTTATGTGACCGACGAAAGTAACAATACTTTTCCTACCCACTCCAATAATAATAATTGCATGGTTCAATCTCGGCCACTCGCTCCTCTCACGCTTACTCCTATTCATCATACTTTAATTGTGCCCAATATTACAAACATCACCAAAGTTACACTGAATATTGAAAAAAGAACAGTATAATATATGGTCCAATTTATTAAAAAATCATGTATGTGTTTATCAAGTGCTTGATCATATAATCCCACCTCCCCATCTACGACACCTGCTACTCCCTCACTCAAAGATATTGATCATGAACTCTGACTTTGCCTTGATGTCGTCGTGTTAGAAAGGATAACAATTTCTAATGACATTCTCCATACCATCATTGCACATGACTCTAATGCAGAACTTGCTTAGAACAGGTTGTTTGACATATTCTATGACAACGAAAATTCTAGGGCTCTTTACCTAGAGCAAGAGTTTTCACGCACTCATATAGAATAATTCTCTAAGACATCCTCTTAATGTTAGCATCTCAAATCTCTCTCTGACCAATTATCTAATGTCGGGGATCCTGTCTCCAATGAACGTATGGTTCTTCAATTTATCTCAGGCCTAACCGATGCATATGCTACTGTAGGCTCGCGAGTTCCTCATAAGATTCTCTTTCGCCCTTTTACAAAGCACACTCCATCATAGTCTTAGAAGAAACTACTAGAGCAAAAAAAGATAGTAAACACCATTGACAATCTTGCCTTCATCGCCTCACACACTGATACATCGACTCATACTTCTTACAACAGCACCAACTACATAGGAGGTAATAACAATCATGGCAGAGGAGGTAATGGTCGCGACTACCGTGGCAGATGAAACAATGGATGCGACGCTGGTAGCTCTCAACATCCACAATGGACTTTATCACTCTACCCATATCAACAGCTACAATGGCCTTATCCATCATATCCCAACCAAAATCAGTAGTGGAAATTTCCACTGTGGAAACAACCTTAGTCTACTCCCTCATGTTTGTACCCGACAACTGGAAACTCGAACAAGCAAGCTGGTATTCTTGGGCAAAAGCCAAATCATCAAGCTCATGTAGCAAACACGACACTGTACCAGGCCAGTCTCCAAAGATCCTCTCAGTATGCTCCAATAGATATTCACGCGGCTATTCATACATTCTTTATTTCTCCTCTAGATTATTAATGGTACATGGACATCAGGGCTACTTCGCTTATGACGCCAAATAGAGATAATCTTATATCTTATTTTAATAGGAGCAAAAATATTAATGTTAGTAGTGGTCATAATATTCCGGTTATTGGTTATGGACATGCATAATAACCTACCTCCACACACTCTTTTAATTTATACAATTTATTACATACCCCTAAACCAATAAAAAATCTCGTCTCTGTTAAAAAATTTACTATTGATAATAATGTTTCTATTGAATTCGGCCCATTTGATTTCTTTGTGAATGATTTTCATACAGGAATGCATTTAATGAGATGCAATAGCTTCGACAACCTCTACCCTCTTACCACATGACCTTACTCTACAACCAATCTACCGTCTACCTTTGACGCATTATCTAATGAAGTATGCCACAACCGTTTAGAACACCCTGGAGAAAATGTTTAACATCTCATACTACTTTCAGGATTATCTAATGACCCCCACAAACCAACATAGGTCTTTTCAGCAATACTTTATCTTCACCCACACACTTTTCGAGAAACTTCCCAGAAGATCACACATCCAAATACTACTCCAAGTCAAGCCTTCTTATCTATGAAGTTCTTATATGTTAGGCTACTGAAAAGAAGATATATCTTATTGGTATGGATAGTATCAATAAATCCTTATAAGACCTCTTTTATCCATGCAGTCTGATACCTGCATATCCTCAGGACCCCTCTCATTCTGATATGAATTCAATCTTTGCCTATAAGCTTCCAGGAGCCACTCATTGTCATGGCTCGTGCACCGACAACTACTCCACGTCCTTATCTTCCTCAGGTTGTTACATGCCCACCAGCTTCCGCTTGGTTCATCTCTGAACCACGTAATAATGGGAGTGGTATGCTCTAAAACCATTTGTAACACCTCAGACTGCTTTCAGAATTACCGAGTGACCCCACAAACCAACACATCTCTTTCCATCATGCTTTGTCCTTACTCACACACTTTCCGGTAAAATTCCCAGAAGGTCATCCATCCAAATACTACTCCAAGTCAAGTCTCTTTAACTATTGAGTTCTTATCTTTTAGGCTACCAAAAAGAAGATGCATCTTGTTGGTACGGATAGTACCAAACAATCCTTATAAGCCTTCCTTCAACCATTCAGTCACATACCTGCACAACCTCGAGATCCCTCTCATTTCGATGTGAATTTGATTTTTACTTAGAAGATGTCAGGAGCCACTCATTGTCATGCCTCTTGCAACGACAACCACTCTCCACCCTCGTCATCCTCAGGTGTTACAAAATGCCTTAAATTCTCTATACCGAAACAATTTTCTTACATGTAATAAGTTTCAGAAGAGTTTCTTTTGTCACTCTTGTCCACTTGGGAAACAAATAAAATTGTCTTTTCCTAATTCTATATATTATACTTTAATGCCTTTTGATATTGTACATAGTGATGTTTGGACATGACATGTTCTTAGTTAAGGAGGACACTGTTATTATGTGTTATTTTTAGATGATTTCACAGATTTTATCTAGACTTTTCCATTACAAAATAAATCTCAAGTTTATTCTACGTTTCTTCAATTTCGAGCTCACATTAAAACCCAATTTGAATGAGAAATAAAATGTTTTCAATGTGATAATAGAAAAGAATATGATAATGCTCTCTTTCAAAAAAATTGTGAACTCAGTGGCGCGTCATTTAGGTTTTCATGTCCCCATACTAACCCTCAAATTGGAAAAGTTGAAAGAAACATTTGTAATATAAATAACATCGTCCTCATCCTTCTAGCTCATGCCTATATCTCACCATCCATTTGACACCATATATTACAAATGGCAACATACTAACATAACATCCTCCCAACCAAAAAGCTTTCCCTCCATTCATCCACTTGTATTCTTCCTCCATCGACAAGTTGGTAGCTTACACATACGTTGATTGGATCGGTTGTCCAGATATAAAAAGATTTACCTCTGGGTATTGTGTATATCTTGGTGACAATTTTCCATTACAAAATAAATCTCAAGTTCATTCTATGTTTCTTCATTTTCGACCTCACATTAAAACCCAATTTGAATGAGAAATAAAATGTTTTCAATGTGATAATAGAATAGAATATGACAATGCTCTCTTTCAAAAAATTTGTAAACTCAATGGCGTGTCGTTTAGGTTTTCATGTCCCCATACTAACCCTTAAAATGGAAAAGCTGAAAGAAAAATTTGCAATATAAATAACATCGTCCGCACCCTTCTAGCTCATGCTTATATCCCACCATCCTTTTGGCACCATATATTACAAATGGCAACATATTAACATAACATCCTCCCAACCAAAAAGCTTTCCCTCCATTCATCCACTTGTATTCTTCCTCCATCGACAAGTTGGTAGCTTACACATACGTTGATTGATTTAGTTGTCCAGATATAAAAAGATCTATCTCTGGGTATTGTGTATATTTTGGTGACAATTTTCCATCTTGGTCCGTAAAACATCAATATACTTTGTCTCGTTCAAGTACAAAGGCCAACTTTCACGGAGTGGCAAATATAGTGTCTGAATCGTGTTGAAATCGAAATTTAATTTTAGAACTACATTGCTCTATTACAAAAGAAATTTTAGGCTATTGTAACAATGTCAGTGTCGTGTACCTGTTTGACAATCCAGTTCAACATCAATGCGTCAAACACATCAAAATGAATATATATTTTGTGTGGGAAAATTTGTTCGCGGTCAGATATGCATATTACATGTTTCTTCTCGTTATCAATTTGTTGATATCTTTACGAAGAGTTTTTGTTTACAATTTTTTGATGATAAGGATAAACTCAGCATTTATCCATCTTCTCTTTTAAATAAAAGGGATATTAGACAGAATTGTTATGGATATAGTTGTTGAGGATTATAAGAGAAATTTTTAATGAAAGTAAGAATTAAATTCCACTCATAAACTGCAAAAGCAAGGTTGTGAAGAATTTTGATCTTACCATACAAAATGTTAAATGTTGAACCTGTTAAACGAAACAGTCACTTATAAGAGAATTGTTATGGATATAGTTGTTGAGGATTATAAGAGAAATTTTTAATGAAAGTAAGAATTAAATTCCACTCATAAACTGCAAAAGCAAGGTTGTGAAGAATTTTGATCTTACCATACAAAATGTTAAATGTTGAACCTGTTAAACGAAACAGTCACTTAATAATGCTTCTTTTTACATATGTACACTATTAAATAAATTATGTAAACAAATTTTCAATATTATTAAAATTAAATATATGTATACTTCATTTATAGCATATTTACTATATATTTGCGAATAAATAAAAGTAACAAGAGGAAAAAATAATATTGACTATTTTATAATATTATAAATGACAATAATTTGAGACTTTTATTAAAAACTTAATAATATTTAAATTATTTAATACTCTTACTATATCTTCAATTTAATTTAAAAATATTTAGTGGGAATGATTGATCTATTAAATATTAACAAAAATATGTTAATAAAGTTAATGTGTATTTTTCATAAAACATATATTTAATTAAACTAATTCCATTTAATTAATTTTCTTAATATATATAGTAGTCCATTAAAAAAGAGAATGTAGATATATACCTATCTGTCATGGCTTTATGAAACAAAGTTGGTTAGATGTGGACCCTAACTTTACCCTTTTAGAATATATAAAATATGATAATTAAGGACGTGACTCATTCACATGGATACACATCTCTCTAAATTTAGATCTTATCTTTATCCTTGTTGTCTCATACAAAGCTATGCATTTCCCACCATATATTAATATAACATTTATCTCATAGTGACCAAAATTTATTATAAAAATAACATAAAGTAGTATATAATTAGTCAAGGTTATCCAATTATTCTTATATATAAGTTCCAACATTTTTATAAATACAACATAACGGATCTAAGCTTTTTCATTGAAGGATTGCTTCATTTCTTCTTCTTGACACAAAAATGAATGTTAAAGGATTAATAGTGAAGGAAAGTAAAAGTGACTCAACATCCATTGGAACATTTTCAGAAGATTCAATGAATTCTTTGTGTTCTTGTTCATCTGAGTTGATAGAGGATGCTGATTCATATTCAACTTCATCATCGTATTCAAACGGATCTTCATATGACTTATCAGAGCTCATGAACAATCTTCCTATAAAGTATGTATGCAATTTCTTCCTATATTTTTATAAGCTGTGGTTAAATAGAGATTTTGTTTTTTTTAGACATCTAAAAACTTAATAATATCCTATATGTTATCATTTTGGAGATGTTTTGAATTGGTATGATTCTTGGATTAAGTATTGTTTATGATTTGTGCAGGAGAGGGTTGTCAATGTTCTATCAAGGGAAGACACAATCATTCACTTCTTTAGGTGATGTACAAAAGATAGAAGATCTTCCAAAGAAAAGCATGTGTTACAATAAGAGAATGAAGTCATGCAGAAGTTATGGTGGAGATTTGGATAGTCATAGAATATGGTATAGTCCAAAGGCTACAATATCAAAAAAGACTTCAAGAGTGCCTTTTTCATCTGTATTAAGTAAAAAAGGGACTTTCTTAGAAAGGTCTAGGCCTTCCATTGTTGTACATAAGGACTTCTGAAATCCAATTAATTAGAGAGTTTGCTTATTTATAAAAATTCAGAGCTTTTTTAATCTCACTCGTTGAGCTTTTTTGCCAAATTAGTAAATGGTTTGATTTGTTTTTAAACAATGAAACATCTTTATATATATATATATATATATATATATATATATATATATATATATATATATATATATATATATATATATATATATATATATATATTGGACTGGCCCGACAGTTTGACTAAGTCCGGCCAAAAAGATTTTCTTGGGTACGGTCTGCACGACCACGATCCGGATCGTCCGCACAACCTTCTTCTGTCGGGCAACGACGGCCGTTGTCCTTCAGCTTCGCCACTAGTCCAGGATGATCGACGAACATCCTCTCTGTCTGCCCGACATGAACGTCGTGCAGGCCACCGAAAATCGGTCAGAGAGAGATATATGTGACTAATTCCCTCCTCAAGACCAACGACTAGTTAAGAGCACATTTGCCCGGTTTGACCAAGTCCTGGCAGTTACCTGATTTTTCGGATCCGCATATGTAGGCGGGAAATCAGGAACCAATGACCACGCGCCAGCGGCATTATATAAACTCTCACACATGTGAGGACTAGGTATCCAATATTCACTACTCACTACCCGATATTTCTGCTTGTACCTCCATGTTTTCGCTATTACTTGATCGTTGGAGTGCCTTGCAGACACAATCCCCTTTTCTCCTCAGATCACAGCCCAACTAAAGATCATCCTCCGGCCACTCACCAGGTTCTGATCAACCGACAAGATCAGTGGCGCCGTCTGTGGGAAACTGCTCTCCCCATCTTTTTTCCCTCAGAACTTAAGATCAAAGCAACTCTTTCAAGATTCATCTCTCTAATCATGGCCGACAAAGATGATCTTCACTTGTCCGGAAAGACCATTCTTTCCCCTGCTCGCAAAACCGACGGGAGTCAAGAACACCTTCATCTCGAGGACAACTTGGGCTTCCGGGACAGACAAACCGAGTCTCCAGATTCTACAGATGCCCGATGCAGCAACGACCAATTCTCGGATAAAGAACATTCTAAGAATCTTGCTGAGGGACTGCCAGTAGTCATGCAACCAGTTCCTATCCCTCTCAACATCGACCCGACCATGACAGTACTGCTCGCTGCTATCAACCAAACCAACGCCCTCATCCTGTAACAAAATCAAAGGATAGGGGCCTGGGAGAACAGGCGATCAAGATCTCCTCCTTGGAGAGCCCGACGACGAAAATCCCCTAGTGTATCGCCACCAAGACGTGGCCCACCGCCCAGAAAGGAGAGGCGCGGCGTTTTTTTTCTTCAAGAAATGCAACCGCACACCTTCTCCCAGAGATCAAGAATCCCCTTCGTTCAAGAAGAGGAAGGACAACAGGCAAATCGACCGAGCTCGACTGCCTTCTCCCGAGCCAAAGCAGAAACGAAAGAGCCCCTCCCCTCGACAGGACCGCAACGACCGACGAGGGAGAAACTACCACTCTCCTTCTCCATCTCCCACCGATAGTTAAGATGACGAGTCTCGTGACCCACTATCGAGAGAGATTACTGAAGCTCCGCTTCCTATCGGCCTAGAGAAACCACCCACTTTAGGGACCTACGACGGAACAATAGATCTTGACGAGGACATCGAGAATATCGATGCCCTCCTCGACTACAGAGGGGTCAAGGGAGCCATCAAATGCAGAATCTTCTCAACCACTCTCAGGAAGGGGGCGATGGCATGGTACAAGAGTCTGCCCAACGAATTCATCACCTCATGGAAACAACTCGGGAGGATATTTTCAAGGCATTTCACCGCCTCCCATCGACACCCTAAATCATAAGCTTCGCTCTAAGCGATCATACAAGGCAAGGACGAGTCTCTGCGTGCATATATTGAATGTTTTAACAAAGAAGCGGTCCAGGTCCCGACAACAGACAATATGAAGAAGTACCTCCTCGAGTGCGGGCTCTGCCCCCTCAGCGACTTTGCCAAAGTTGTGGGCATAGAAACACCAGCCACGCTCGATTCTCTTCTCCTAAAAGCCCAGGAGTAGATGTAGTACGAGGAGAAGGAAGCGGCCAACAGCGTCCATAAATCTAGGCACATAGAAAGTTCCAAATCCTCAAAGAACGATGAACCCTCGACATCCCATCGAGGGGAGAAGAAACGGGAAGACAAAACCCTTGATCCTAAAGACTGCAAGGGGTTGGCCGTTCATTTCCATGACTACACCCCTCTCACAAACTCAAGGGAGCACATTCTTTCTGAATGCGCTAATTCCGAATTCAAGCAAGACGGGGTGTGCTTCCCCCAACAAACACCATCCAAGCCAGGAACCGACAAAAGCAAGTACTGCAGGTTCCACAAGAGTCACAGTCACAACAGAGGATTGCATCCATCTCAAGGATGCAATTGAAATACTGATCAGAGACAGGCACCTCAAGCAGTATAAGAAGAAGGAGGGTGCCCGTGACGAAGCACCAGAAACCAAGAATGTTAAGGAAGGGAAGAAATCCCCCGACCTTGACTTTATTTTGGTCGCCTTGAGAATCTCACAGTCGAAAGACTTCTACTTTTAAGACATGGAGAATGTCCCCCTGTGCTTCTCCTTCCACAGTATGTGGGAATCCTTCCCCGCAGCCATGGTCATCTCCGACGGAGGATTCAACAGACACATAGTTGGATCAGTGAAGAGGAGGTTTGACCAACTCATCGAGGCCAACTCAGAAATAGATGCCACGCTCGACGAATTCTGAGGAGGATCTCGCCCCCTCGCATTCTACAGGGAAGAGTTGCCAGGAGAAGAGGCAACTAAAAGTTTTCCTAAAAGACAACGCCGATCTGTTCGCCTGGAGTTTGGCTGAGATTCCCGAATTAGACCTTGAGGTCGCATGCCATCACCTGACCATTGATCCTGCCATTAAGACGGTCGCGCAACGCAGAAGGAAGCAGTCAACCGAGAAAGCAAAGGTTGTTGAATTAGCTGTAAAAGACCTCCTAGAGGCACACTTTATTTCTGAAGCCCAGTATACAACCTGGATCTCTAATGTAGTCCTCGTTAAAAAATCTAATGGAAAATAGCACATGTGCATTGACTATACTGATCTCAACCGGGCTTGCCCAAAATATGTTTATCCCCTCCTCAATATTAACAAACTGGTCGACAAATCGACTGGTTTCAAACTGATATCATTTATGGATGTATATTCTAGATACAACCAGATCCCCATGACAAAAACGGACAAAAAATATACCGCTTTCATGACCGAGTCGAGCAACTATTACTATAACATAATGACATTCAGCCTAAAAAACGCGGGTGCTACTTACCAGCGCATGATGAACAAAGTATTTCGCAACGAGATAGGCAACATGCTAGAAGTCTATATGGACGACATGATCGTCAAGTCCACATAAGAGCTCGACCATGCCCCCCACCTGAAAAAAGTATTCGAGCAAGCTCGAAAAAGCCAGATGCGATTCAACCCGGAAAAATACACCTTCGACGTACGGGCAGGAAAATTCCTCGGATTTTATTTAACAAAATAAGGTATCGAGGAAAATCTCGACAAATGTCGATCATTCTCTGAATTTCCGACGCCCACCTCGAAAAAATCTATTCAGATCTTGAACGATATGCTCACTTCACTTTCCTGATTCGTGGCAAAGTCCGCCCAGCACGCGCTTCCCTTGTTCAAGCTACTGCGCAAGGAAGTCGTCTTCGAGTGGACGCCCAAATGTGAACAAGCCCTTGTTCATTTGAAAGGAGCGCTCTCACAGCCGCTCGTCTTATCTCAACCTGAGAAGGACGAAGTCCTCTACCTTTATCTAGCCTTCTCCTCTGAGGCAATAAGAGTGGCGCTGATAAGGAAAACCTCTGAAGGACAAAGACCAATTTACTTCACGAGCAAAGCCTTGCAAGTCCCGTAAGCAATATATCAACAAATCGAAAAAGCAGCTCTGGCCCTTATTACTGCAGCGAGGAGACTAAGACACTACTTCCTAGCCCGCACCATAATGGTTCGGACTGACGAACCAATAAAACAACTGCTCGAAAGACCAGACATGGCCGGCAGAATGTTGAAGTGGTCCCTAGAACTCTCTGAATTTGATATCCAATACGAGAGAAGGAAAGCCCTTAAGGCTCAGGCCTTGGCCGACTTCGTAGCAGAAATGACGTCGCCTGCAAGCCCCGACGGATCACGTTGTTGGACGATCTTCGTTGACGAAGCCTCCAGTTTGACTGGAAGCGGCGTGGGCATCATACTAGAAAATGAAGAGGGGATCCTAGTCGAAGTCTCCCTCGCTCTATCTTTTCCAACCTCCAACAATCAGGCCGAATATGAGACATTCCTCATGGGCTTACGACTGGCCAAAGATCTGGGAGCTGAGGAAGTAAAAATCTTCACCGACTCCCAATTGGTTGCCTCTCAAGTCCGAGGTGAATATCAGGTCAAAAACGACCAACTCGCTGAATATTGGGCCCTGGTCCAGAAGGAAAAAGGGAAGTTAAAATCGGTGGACGTACAACACGTTTCCCGCGAGTAAAATGCTCGTGCAGACGTATTATCCAAATTGGCAAGCACAAAGAGAAAGGGGGAAATAAATATGTGATACAGGAGATAATACCTCAACCAAGCACCCAGAAGTCATCTTCCACCCTAGAAGTATTCACCATCGGGGATAGCGATTGTTGGATGACCCCCGTACACGACTACCTCACTAACGGAAAAACCCTCGACGATCCAAAAGAAGCGGCCGTCGTCAGGCATAGGGCGTGCTCGTACGTCTTGGTCGAAGGCAAACTTTACAGAAGAGGATTTCCATTTCACTCCTCAAGTGTGTCGATCGAAGCAGAGCAGAACGCGTACTACTCGAAATCCATGAAGGCATCAGTAATCTTGGGAGGAAGATCCCTCACGAGAAAAGCCTTGTAGGCATGATACTACTGGCCCACCATGCAACACGATGCAAGAGAGCACGTAAAGAGATGTGATAAGTGCCAAC